CACCAGCCAAGATGTTGGCACCCAATGAAACCAATTGCAACGGGTGCAATGATGCCTATATCACCCTTTTTGAGTCAACAGCTGTGGCGTAAACAGTGTAAACCAAACCAAATGTGATCAACATGTCAAAACCACAGCGTCCCATGCTCCAACCCCAGATGACAACCCAAATGCTGATGTTGTCTGCATCGTAACAATAAGCAACTCTGGTTAAACATTGAATTCAAAGTTAATTTGTCTATCTCAGCTTTAGCTCTGAACATCTACCAATCCACCAGTTGAAAACTTGAGAAGCAAGCAAGCAACCACGGATCCCAGCAACTGAGCAATCTAGTACAAAATACCCCTAAACATGGTGATGTGTCCGCCAACAAAGGCACCGAATGTGACGGCAGGGTTACATGCCCACCGGAGATGTTAGCGCCGACGGAAACCGCCACAAATAGTGCAAGGCGTGAGCTTGCGATGCAGTTACTAATCCCGCTGGTGTTGATGAGCCGTTGTCTGTGAGCTTGTCTGCACAAAGATACACACATAAAAGTTGACGTTGGTTAATTAGGCTTACATAACAAAGTACCAACAGACATCCTAAACAAGTAACATAGTTTATCCTAAAATTTAGTGTGTTTTCAAGGGATCAAGATACTTACTAAAAGCCATGCCGGAGCCTTGACCGGCGAAAACAAAGATAAGCATTGAAATAAACTCAGCTAGAGCTGCCTTGAGAGCATCGGGTTGGCTAGCCTCCGCCGGAGAGCCTACTGCAATTCGAGAAATCGGCATTATTTCCCCGAGAAATTCTAAGTTATCAATGCTCGGAGATAGAAAACTAAAAAAGAAAATAAAAGCCACGTTGGTCTCTATTGCTTTCTTTACCTTTCTAGTTTCTTCAATGGTTCTTATATCCAGGGGTCCAATGTAGCGACTATGAACCGGGGTGAATTAGAAGAGGGAGAGCCTCCAAATAGCTCCCATTACGCCACGTGTACGATCGATGTGTACTTGAATTGGAAATCTAACCGCGGAGAATTTGGTTCACCGACGGGAGCGACTGTGGTTGGAATGGGTCCCCCTCTTATGATTTCGAGTGTTTTCGATAGACCGACGTGACGTGACGGTGTCGTTAGCTTTGCTGGGCGCATTAAGTCGTTATCACGCACTAATCAAGAACTAATTGAATCGGATTAGATGAGATTAATAAAAAAGGGGGCTAAATTTAGTCGTTAGAATTAATTGAAAATGTAGTGGGTAATGTGTTGCGGGGAGGTGAACTAATTGAGGAATTTTCAATTGGCATAAATAAGCATTTGTGGTTATCAAACCAATATTTTTTTTATAATTCTGAATCGCACGATACTATGTTCAATAATTGGGATTATGGCCTGCTTCCAATAATATTATATGATTAATTGCTCATTTCTTTGAACTAATGGACGGCCACATCTCTATCAAAAACCTTGTCTTTGAAGGTCAAAGCCTGTTGGCTCCCCAATAAAATTTTGACAAAGAACAAACGTTTAACAAAAAGGCAAAATACTTCAAGTTAACCACGGAAGATGATTCAATGGCAGTAATGCAAGATTCCAACTTTAAAAGGCAAAATTATAACTTCCCGATCAAAGTCTCAAAACAATGTAGGAAGCAACTAGCTTAGATGATGTCGATTTTGTTTGCCACATCCAATTCGTCGTAGTCTGGTGTCAACCTAACATACGTCTTCTTCGTACAATCGGGCCTGAATCACAACAACCGTAACGATTACGAACAATCCACAGACAATTGTATGCATACAAGTTATTCAAATTAAGCTTTTTAATAACAAATAAATTGTCTACAATGGTTAACATTACCTGATCAAGGTGTTAACTTTCTTGGCCTGAATGTCATACATCTTCTTGACAGCACCCTTTATCTTCTTCTTGTACACACGAATGTCGAAAATGAAGACCAAAGTGTTGTTATCTTCAATCTTCTTCATAGCTGACTCGGTTGTGAGTGGGGAACTTGAGAATCTGATAACGGTCAAGTTTGTTCCTAGGTGGAGCACTAATGCGTGGGTACTTGGGGTTCCTATCCTTCTTCAACGTCCTTGGCCTGTGGAATGTAACCTTTGTTCGGATCTTCGTTGCCTTCTTAAATGTGGTTCCAGATTTCACCGTCTTCGCAGCCTTCAAGGCCAGTGCCTTCGGATCTACCTTCTTCTCAACTGCATAATATCAGTAAAGAAGAGACCCCCAGTTAACCGTAGCAGTAAAGTTTATTGAAGCAAGACAATGTCAACAGCCTCTAAAAATCCCAAAATTAAGTAAAATTTTAATTTCATTTCAGCTCTTCAAAAGGAAAAGTAACGGAGTAGAAAACCCAGATTCGCATTGCATATGGCAACAGCAAGAACTGAAAGCAAAGTTGTTCGAAATAACTACAAACTAAATCCAAATACCTTTGGGAGCCTTCGGTTTCTGTCTCTACCTCAAACCCTTCAAAACCCTAAACCAAAAAAAGAATTAAACAGACAAACTTATAACCCATTTAAAGAAAACTTCGGAACATGAATAAAGATACAGAGAGCAGACCTGTAAGATGCGGGGAAGCCATTAGGATCTGCTGGGAAATTAGGGGTTCGCGAATATAGATATATTATAGGGTAAACCACATGTTTAGTACCCAACTAACATTTTTATTCCTTTTGGTCATCTAACTATTTTATTTTCCAAAATCATACCTAATGTTATATTTTGATTTCATTTTGGTTTTTGTAGACACTCATTTTCGTCCGAGATTTTTTTATATATATAATAATATCGAATAGTTTTTTAAAAAATCGGGTTTTGAAATAAATATATATATAATATATAGTTTTTGAAAACTTTTTGAAAATATATATATAATAAATAGTTTTGAAAACATTTTGAAATAATAGGGTTATCTCACAGCCTATTACAGTATAGCTCAAGGCGAGAAGGGCTATCTATCAACCAAAACCTTCGAGTTCGATTACATTCAGCTCAATGACATATCAAATTTATAGCATAACTAATGTGAGAAGGGTTATCTGTCAATAAAAACTTCGAGTTCAATTACATTCAGCTCAAGGGCATATCAAATTTACAGCATAGCTTAAGTCGAGAAAACTATATGTCAACAAAAACTATCGATTCAATTCCATTCAGCTCGATGACATATCAACCGCATGGTAGCAACGAGGAACTACTTTCCAGTTGAAGTTTAAACCAAGATCTTTAAGTCAATAGGAGATGTGGGGCAATCTCTCAGCTTAGTACAACATAACTCAAGGCGAGAAGGTTATCTGTCAATAAAAACTTTCGAGTTCGATTCCATTCAGCTCGATGACGTATCAACTGCATTGTAGCAGTTGGGAACTATTTTTTGGTTGAAGTTTAAGTCGAGGTCTTTAAGTCAAGAAGAATACATGGGTTAGTTGTGTTTTAGTGACAGGAAACTATCTTTCAGCAGCATAGCTTAAGTCGAGAAAAGTTATGTCAACGGAAACTTTCGAGTTTGATTTCATTCAGCTCGAGGTCCTATCAACCATATGGTAGTGTCAAGGAAATATTTTATTCGATTTTTCAAATCGAGGAAAAGACCAAGGTCGACTACGATTTGGCAACAAGAAACCACATTCCAATTCAAATTCCAAACTACGATTTCAATTTCATGAAGAATGATATCATTTCAAGGCTGACTCAACTTCGCGACGGATAAGTCATCCGCAACTCAATTTAACAGGGAGTTATTCTTAATTGCAATATCATAGTCAATTTTCAACTCCACAATGAAGATATTAGACTTTGGAACCCCTTTCAATGATTGTAGCCTTGCAAAGCTCCCGATATAAAAAGGCTAAAATCACCGAGTCCCCAACTAGTATTACAACACTCAATAAAATTATTCAATTGGAGAAGATACGATCGGGTTGCAAATACGACATCCTCCTCGGTAGATTTATTCGTCACTTGAAATTCAAACTCCAACCAAGTGATATGTGTCTGATATTCGTCTAAGATCTCGGGTGGTGGCATCCTTCCCAAAACTTCGTGAACAATACTGAATCGATTGTAATCGTTCCACCTCACGACAGTCGCACTATTAACCGAAACACCCAGTTGGTAAGCGACATCTTCCTATGTAATCATCTCTTCATACTAAAAAAAAATGGAAAGTATGTGTCTCATGCCTCTAACATTCAATCAGAGCCAAAATCAATGTCAGGTTCTACTTAAAACCATGTAGAAATGTGGTTGGATATGGGTCGAATTGTTGTAGATATAATTATTTGCTGATGCGGATCTCTCAATGTCATTTATCATTGATGAATGCTCATTTTTCTTTCGTACGAAGTTTGAACGAAGAAATATGGACATTATCAAGGCGTAACATTTATTCTCTGGTAAATATTTTTAGGGAATTCTTCAAAAACTATGATTTTTTCTCATTTTTTTTCGTAATCATAGATAGTAAAAATCTTAAACCCCAAACCCTATTTATAACTCCAATCCCAATAGCTATAAACGATTATATTATTAAAAAGCTGGATGGACTTGTCAACTCGAGGTGATGAGTTCTATGGTGATATTGGAAATTGGCCGTTATAGTGGATTGTTGCCCAACAACTCTAAACAACTAGTTTTTTTAATTCATATTCTATTTTTTTCTTTTACAAAATTATTTAATTAATTTTAAAAATAATTAAAAAATAATTTCTTACGGGACTCATCAACTTGATAAATATATTAAGATAATGGACCACATATGGTCCACTTAACTGGGACCATTGAAATAATATATCTAATCGAACTCGTAACCTCAAAGTGAAGAGTTTCCTTTACTGGTATCATTTGTTGTAGATTGCAAAATAAAATCTGGAGTGTCTTATTGGGCCAAATAATTTTTGGACCAGGGCTAACAAAACCCATGTGGTCACTCGCCTTCCATTAAGGCCCATTTAACGGATGCTGATGTGGCGCCCCTCTCTCCTTAGATTCCCCAAAAAAAGCCGCCTAGCATTTTCTTACACCGCGAGGATTAAAGAGAGAGAAAACTAGAGACGGCAGCTGAAACTCTCGGCGGCTTAAAACGACACTAACTACGATCTGCCCAAAGCTTTAAACGGCAACTCTTATGTCATCTCAGGCTCATCTCTCCACTTCTTCCTCTGCTTTTAAAACCCTCACCTTCTCTTCCTTACTCTACTTGTCCCCGGGGAGAAGTCTTTGCTTTGATCGTCTCCGTACATTTCTAGGCGGTTATCTTTTCTTTCTTATTTTCTCTTGGAAAAATTGAAGTTTCATAAATTGAATTGTTTTGACTTACTTCCGAATGGCTGGACCTTTGCCGACGACGAACGGGGTGAAGGAAAGCAACTTATGGAAAGGAGTTTTCGCTGTTAGTGGAATCATGGTTACTCTTGTTATCTATGGAGTTTTACAGGTTCGTCTTTTTCTTTAAAAAATTGTGTATTTCTTTATTTGCAGTTTTTTATCTTTGTATTCAGTTTTAATTGCATCGCTTGTACCTCGAAAGAACTTCAAAAGCTTGAACATGTGGATCTCCCTCTCTTTTAAATGTTTCTTCACAATCTAAAGTGTTTATAAAAAAGAAAGTCTAGATTTTAATGTCTTGAGCTTCTAGCACGATTGATTTTAGTACAATATACAACCCTGATACATTTTACTGCTCTTTTGCAATTTCTTCTGGGAGGATCTCGTTATCCTTTTGCTTTCAAACTTGAAATTTGATAAATAAAGAACGAATTTTAGCTATGGTGACGGGTAGCTGTAGCAGAACAATTCTTGTGTATTTCAACAAAAATGTAAACTAAATATCTTATTTTGATGAACAAATCTATGTTAGAATTGAAGATTTGAGTATTAATCCAGATGCAATCAGGTTGATCTTTCTAGTTAAAGGGTGCCTTAAACTAACAATAAGAATGTAGATAATGGCATTTATGCTGTTGATGTCTTAACTTTGTTAATTGTTCGGAGATATGATTATTCTGTATTAGCAGCAGCATCTTCCTCCAAAGGAGAATTATGTAGATACCTTTTAATATCCGGTCTTCGCTCTTGTTTGAAGGTGCAGGTGTTCTTTTGTTTAATCGTTGAAAAATGGTTTAGTTGTAAACGTTCTTTTGTTTTGAGGTGTTGATGGAAGTTTACTTTCATGCAGGAAAAGATCATGAGAGTCCCATATGGGGTGAACAAGGAATATTTTAAGTACTCATTGTTTCTCGTTTTCTGCAACCGCCTAACAACATCTGCTGTTTCTGCTGGTTTTTTACTGGTATGCAACCATTACTGGCAAGTTCCTGCGCTCATATGTACTATTTTTGTGTTTTTATTTATTTTCCATGGGCCTTTGACCTTATGGAATAGCCTAGAGATGAACCATCTATCATAAAAGATGGCAAGGTTGACCGCCGTATTTTTCACCATTTTCATTTTCTTCTGTTCTTTTCCCGTAGGCAAGTAAGAAAGCCTTGGATCCTGTTGCTCCAGTCTATAAGTACTGCCTCATATCAGTATCAAACATCCTAACCACAACATGTCAGTATGAGGTGAAGCTGCTTCTTAATCAATTTGAATATAAGTATCGTGAATAAGCTCCTTTTATGCAGTTATGGTATAATAATTGTTATGAAAACGTTTCTGTGGTCCAGGCCCTAAAGTATGTCAGTTTTCCCGTTCAGACTCTGGCTAAGTGTGCAAAAATGATACCTGTAATGGTATGTTAGTTTTGCAAGACTAATTAAGGAGGCTTATGAATTATGTGTATCCAAATGGGTTTGGGCTCTTAAGTTCATCCAATGGATGCTTAATGCTAGCCCCCCATTATTGGTTATCAATGGTTTTAAGCTGCAAAAATTTCTGACAACTTTGTCTTTTTTCATACAGATATGGGGAACTTTCATTATGCAAAAGACATATAAGGGATTGGACTATTTGGTAGCGTTTCTGGTGACTGTAGGCTGTTCAATATTTATACTATTTCCGGTAAAATTCTGTTCTTTGTTATCAACATTCGTTGTTTACCTTCTAGTTGTTTATGGCTCTCATGTGTTCATTTCCATGTGCACAATTTAATATTGTTTATATAGAGTTTGATTGTGGGATGGAAATGAACACATGTAACTGACATCCCCTTTATTATACGTATACTGATTCAGCTCTCACTATAGGCAGGAACTGACATCAGTCCTTACAGCAAAGGAAGAGAAAATACAGCTTGGGGTGTTTCTCTGATGGTTGGTTATCTTGGGTATCAATCTGAAACTTATTTCCCCACACCATAAAATATATATGTTGTTACTTTCTGTAATAGGATATTCAAACTACGAAGTGATATATATACCATGATAGGTCTGAATTTTCAATTGCTGATTTATTAGTGGCATTTGTTGCATCGATTGCACTTAGTGAAAAACTACTCTCATATGTAGGCTCGTTTGACCTGAAATATTTCTATAGTCTCAAGTCATCTAGCGTTGCTATTTTGAACGCTTTTCAGTTTTAATTTTTAAATGCTCGTTTCTACGTTTAACAGGTTTGATGGTTTTACAAGCACATTCCAAGACAAATTATTCAAAGGATATGATATGGAAATACACAATCAAATATTCTATACAACATTGTGTTCTTGTATTCTCAGTTTGACAGGTAAAAGTTCCTTCAACATACTGTTAGGAATATCTTCTGTTTTACCTTTAAGATTTCTTTGTGGTTGCATTCCATTGATTAATTGCTGGTTGTGAATTTTTTTCTGTACTGTCCAGGTCTTATATTACAGGGACATTTACTTTCAGCTATAGATTTTGTTTATCGCCACACTGATTGTTTCCTTGATATTGTATTACTTTCTACTGTAAGTGTTCTTTCCTTTCCTATTTTTAGTTTTATTTGGCCCTGACTAAGTTTGTGTCTTCTTTTATTGTCCCCGGCATATCGAGAAGACATAATTTGGAATCCTAAGTTTAAAAGAGATTTTTTTTATAGGTAGCTACAATTAGTCAATTCTTCATTTCTTACACGATTCGAACATTTGGCGCCCTCACATTTGCTGCCATAATGACCACAAGACAGGTATAGTTGAAGTTTCTACAATAAAGTTTTAATGTCTCCTTTTCTCCCAATGATATATTTCAGATTAATGGTGATTCCTCGTACTTGTTGTTTAAGCTTGTGAGCATCATGCTGTCATGCGTGTGGTTCGGCCATCCCCTTAGTTGGGAACAATGGATCGGGGCAGTAAGTCTCTACTACGTTTGTTCTAACGTTGTTGTCAATTTTCAAAAGCCTGATGATATTGATGCTTTATCAGGTCATTGTGTTTGGCTCCTTGTATACTAAAAACGTCCTCAAAAAATTATCAATGAATCCCCCTGCTCCACAACAAGAACAAAGACAGAACGGTGCTTCTAGTCCCATCAAAGGGATCCCTTAATATCATCTGATCAATTTTTCGCACCAGTTGCTGCATCTAGTTCTATTCAAGTAAACATTTGCTGATGTTAAAGTTGCATTCTGAAGCATATACCTCCAAGACTCGTGTCCGAACGATCTCTTGAAATCCAAGCTGCAGATGCATTTTAGTGAAGGGATACGAATTATGAAACTACACTTGAAGTAAAGCACAAAATCGCTCTTTGTTTTTTTACAAAAGGAATTAGATGTATATGCAACTGCTGAGGCTTATACTGTGGACTTTTTTTCTATAAACATAGTAAAGGAGGGAAAAGAGTGATTAAAAAGGTTGATTTGTTCATGTTGCCTTTGGTTGAGTTCTCATGCTTTGCATTATGCTCAGTTTGAACAACGGGAGAGGGAAGAAAAGGCAAAAAGAACAACTTTTTTTAGAGCTCAAATCCCATACGATTCAAGAACAACTTTCAGCAGATTAAAATTTGAAGTTAAAATCCAGTTCATCCTAAAAGTTCGGAGTTGGCATTTTATTATGGTGATTCTTTCTCTTGTGAGTATGTATATGTTAAGAGGTCGAAGTTAAAAGACTCCAGATTCAAATATAATTGAGTACAATAATATCATAATGTGTACCAACATACCATGGGAACTGAATTGTATGAGAAGAAAAATTACAAATCATGTTTGGAATCCAGGAGAACACAGGTAGTTAACGTTGACAGATAAATCCATCATTAAATTAGGATAATTAAGTTGGTTTGGCCCCAGATAGATCAACAGTGACTGTAGTTTAGTGTAAGAATTCTACGTTGTGGCCGTAGAGACCTGGGCTTGAATCCCAGCAGGTCACATCATCTCTTTTCTTTTTTCATGAACCAGAAATAGCCAGAAACCCCGACTCTCCATCTTCATGTCCATCTCCTGTTAGGACAAATACCTGGGTGGCGACAATGGAAACTCTAGAGATTGAAAATCCAATCGTAGATTCCTGTTTACGAAACCTCCGCGCTTTGTCCGTTTGTTTTTCTTCCATAACAATAACAACTTCGATTTGTTCCATTTTTGGTCTGTCTAATTATTTCACTTTAATGTGAAGATTTCCTCATTCACGATCTCTATATGTCAACTGCTTTTGCGGTACAAGATGGTTCTCCTGAGAGATTAAAGGAGTTGAAGGAAATTTTTATTTACTGGATTGTTAATGTTTTTTAATCATATGATTATAAAAACTAGTATAAAATAAAAACTCCTTTTCATAAATCATAAGGTAACGGGAGAGGATGGCATCCCTCCCTTTTCTTCTCTCACGGCAATTGGAGTACCAAAATCAAACCTGTTCTCTCCTCCTCAGGAAATAGCCCACAAACCCGTAAATCTTCCACCCAAAAAATTATTTATGCTCGGTCGTGGATCAAAGAATAGGTAAAACAAGATATGCGGCAGTGTCATGCCAATCGATGGTGAACTGCCATCTTGCATGGCACCTCATATCAGATAAACAAACCTAAAAGCAGAATGTCCTCTGCGCATGGTCTACAGAAGCCTTATGTGAACAGTCCCTTTGAGTTTTCCATTAAGTGGTTCAGTCATTAAAATGTGTAACGTTTTTCTTTAATATCTTATGATCTAGTTTAGGGTGTGAAGGTACGTTGTTAATAATTAATAAAATAATATAAATTATAGAAATGATTACTTTTATTTTAATTTTGTAAACTTTTCATCATTGAATTTAAAAGACATAAGATTTGATCATTTTCGTTTCATTTTAATTAAAATGTGATCATTGAATAAATTGTCGTTAAACGTTTAACTATTTAATGATGTGGCACAGTAAATAAATAAAATTAAAATAACAATATTTTCACGTAGATAATACGTGTATTAATTTTTGGTCACTTTTCTTTAAAAAAACATAGGTTTTGATCACTTACATTATTGTTTTATTTAAGTTTTGGTCATTTACGTTATTTTTATATTAAGTTTTGGTCACTTGGACATTAAATTTTGTTAGATTGATGATGTAACCCGTTAGTAAAATGATTTAATTTTTATTTTAACCCCTATACTTTAGACAAAATACTAATTATGTTTTTTTGCAAATTCAAGTTAGTTTAGGAACAATATTTCAATTTTTTTTTAATATTTTTCTTCTCAACCCCAATATTGCTTATCTTCTCATGTTTCTTCTTCACACATCTCTACCTCATTGCACTATTGTTTCATTTGTCTTCTTTCACGGACTCATGATGCATTTCAAGAACAAAGAAAGATTTCCAACTTTCCATAACAAATAATAACACCACAAGTTTAGAGAAAAATGAGAGGGTAGACGTCTAGAGATAAAATGAAGTTGGGTAATCTCGGTTATACATACTAAAATTCAATTTCCAGATTTAAGATTGTAGAATGCCATATACAACAAGAAACAATAACACAAATTAATCGATCCAAATAACCCGATAACTGGATATCACTCTTTGTGGCGATTTTCCCTTGAGAAAGCACATATGATGTAACATAATCAATGGATCCAAACAAATCGTTATTGGATCCGTGAATTCATTCATTGAACTCAATCCAAAATTCATGATCTACAATGTTGAATCTTTATTTTTACTCAAGAACAAGCAATTTCTTATTCTATATCCCTATGAATCAATGTTAACTCATGCAACTTGCGTGATCTGTCACACCATCGCCACCACGCTGGTCTTCGAGTACCTCATTTTTGCGACGACCCGATCGAACAACTCATCGTCGGAGCAAGCTCCAGTACTTATTGAAAGTTGGTTTGATCTTCGTAAACTTCGTGGAAGTTAATCTCATTCAAATGCAACGAAACTTTCTCGACGATCTTACACATCACAGAGATTTGGTTGGTCAACATCGAAGATGGAAACTTGGTACTATGTTGTCAATAATGCTACCATTGAAAAAGCTCTAATTTTCTCAGCTCGAGGCGGTGACATCGCTGTGGTGGTGAATCTTTTCAGTGTTTTAATAGTGAATTCTTACATTTTCACGATCTTCATTACTTCTTTTTATACATTTTCTTACAATTGAGAACTCACATAATTTGACTTTAAATAATTGCAACTAATAATTAAAAACAATAAGTCTATTGTAATGGAGGAGAGATGTCTAAAGAAGAAACAAAGAGAAGATGAGGAATATTGGGGGTTGGGGAGAAAAAAATTAAAAAATGGGTAAATTAAGACGCATAATTAATATTTTGTCTAAAATTTATGAGTTAAAATAAAAATTAAACCATTTTACTAACATGTCACGCTATCAAACTAACGACATTCAATAATGTCTAAGTGATCAAAACTTAATAAAACGATAATAAAAGTAGCTAATAAAATAATAGCGTAGGTGGACAAAACTTATATTTTTGAAAGGAAAGTGACCGACACTTAATCTACATATTATATACGTGAAATGATGTAATTTTAATTTTATATATTTACCATGTCAAGTCAACAAAACGTTAAAGGTTTAACGACCGTTAAATTTTAGCAATCACATCTTAATTAAAACGAAACAAAAGTGATCAAATCTGAGTTTTTTAATTCAATTATAAAACTCAAACAAAAGTTATCATTTTTTTAGTTCACACTAAATTTTTTTTTAACATATATTACCTTATAATGATATTATTAAAAATAAATGTTGAATTCGTCAATTTAACCAATCAGATTTGAGACTTCGCGAAGCAAAGATTGAAAGCTACCAATTCAACAGGATTATTCAGTCCCATTCCCGGATAGTATAGCACAATTCCGGCATCAGTCAGAATAATCCTACCCGCCAAAAGAAAAAACTAGTTTACGTTTATTTTCAAACGGGTAAGATATCTCAGGCGCGTATGGTCCACACGTATTCTAGATTTCAAAATCGAGAGCTCTGGAACTCACTAGACACAAACTTAATACTAAAAGAAGGGGAGCAGGAGAAAGGAAAATAAAAAATCTTTGACAGTCGAATTATAGATCTAACGGCTGAAATTATACGATCAGAACATTCCAGAAAACTGACTTTCTTTATAAACCCATAAAATTCCTCTCTTTTCTCATCGAAACGAAATTAGTGAAAAGATTTCTCCTCACAAGTCTCACAAGATTTCTTTGTTTGTTTCTACACTCAGTTCGTTTATTTGTTCAGAGTTTCAATGGCTGGCAAAGGGGAAGGTCCCGCGATTGGTATCGATCTCGGTACGACGTACTCGTGCGTCGGTGTTTGGCAACATGATCGTGTGGAGATCATAGCTAATGATCAGGGGAATAGAACGACGCCATCTTACGTTGCTTTTACAGATACTGAACGTTTGATCGGCGACGCTGCTAAGAACCAGGTCGCCATGAATCCTATCAATACTGTTTTCGGTACGTTCTTATCGTTAGCATTAGTTTAGTTATTCGAATATCAATTCATTTTAGCGTTTTGCTGATTTTAGTAGTATTATTATGTACACTCTTATTCGTTTTGATAATTAGAATAGATTGTGAGATTTTACTTTTCGCCGTTAGTATTTTTAACAGTATTATAGTTGAGATTTTCCTTAGTGAAATTCAGTTTTAACTTGTAAATTTCAAGGTTTTAAATTGTGTCTTAGATTTTTATGCCATGGCGTGCGTTTATGCTAATGATTGATTGGTGTTGCTGAAATAATTTTCTAGATGCTAAGCGTTTGATCGGTCGAAGGTACAGCGACGCGTCGGTCCAAAGTGATATGAAATTGTGGCCATTTAAGGTCATTCCTGGGCCTGGAGTAAGCCAATGATCGTCGTCACGTACAAAGGCGAAGAGAAGCAATTTTCTGCTGAAGAAATCTCCTCCATGGTCCTGACGAAGATGAAAGAGATTGCTGAGGCTTATCTTGGGTCAACCATTAAAAACGCCGTCGTTACAGTCCCGGCTTACTTCAATGACTCCCAGCGTCAAGCCACGAAAGACGCTGGTGTCATTTCTGGCCTCAATGTCATGCGTATAATCAACGAGCCAACTGCTGCAGCCATTGCCTACGGACTTGACAAAAAGGCTGGAAGTTCAGGAGAAAAGAATGTGCTTATTTTTGACCTCGGTGGTGGTACTTTTGATGTCTCATTGTTGACAATTGAAGAAGGGATCTTCGAAGTGAAGGCTACTGCTGGAGATACCCATTTGGGAGGTGAAGATTTTGACAACAGAATGGTGAATCATTTTGTGCAAGAGTTTAAGAGGAAGCACAAGAAGGATATTAGTGGGAACCCAAGAGCTCTGAGAAGGTTGAGAACAGCTTGTGAAAGAGCTAAGAGGACATTGT